AAGTTTGCCGACGACACAACAGTGGTAGGCCTGATCACCGACAACGATGAGACAGCCTATAGGGAGGAGGTCAGAGATCTGGCCGTGTGGTGCCAGGACAACAACCTCTCCCTCAACGTGACCAAGACAAAGGAGATGATTGTGGACTACAGGAAAGAAAAGAGGACTGAGCACGCCCCCATTCTCATCGACGGGGCTGTAGTGGAACAGGTTGAGAGCTTCAAGTTCCTTGGTGTCCACATCACCAACGAACTATCATGGTCCAAACACACCAAGACAGTCGTGAAGAGGGCACGACAAAGCCTATTCCCCCTCAGGAGACTAAAAAGATTTGGCATGGGTCCTCAGATCCTCAAAAAATTATACAGCTGCACCATCGAGAGCATCCTGACTGGTTGCATCACCGCCTGGTATGGCAACTGCTTGGCCTCCGACCGCAAGGCACTACAGAGGGTAGTGCGTACGGCCCAGTACATCACTGGGGCAAAGCTTCCTGCCATCCAGGACCTCTATACCAGGCGGTGTCAGAGGAAGGCCCTCAAAATTGTCAAAGACTCCAGCCACCCTAGTCATAGACTGTTCTCCCTGCTACCGCACGGCAAGCGGTACCGGAGTGCCAAGTCTAGGTCCAAAAGACTTCTCAACAGCTTCTACCCCCAAGCCATAAGACTCCTGAACAGCTAATCATGGCTACCCGGACTATTTGCACTGCCCCCCCACCCCATCCTTTTTACGCTGCTGCTACTCTGTTAAGTATTTATGCATAATCACTTTAACTCTACCCACATGTACATATTACCTCAACTACCTCAACTAGCCGGTGCCCCCGCACATTGACTCTGCAACGGTACCCCCCTGTATATATAGCCTCCCTACTGTCACTTTATTTTACTTCTGCTCTTTTTTTCTCAACACTTTAAAAAAAAATAAATGCACTGTTGGTTAAGGGCTGTAAGTAAGCATTTCACTGTAATGTCTGCACCTGTTGTATTCGGCGCATGTAACCAATAAAATTTGATTTGATTTGATTTGATTTGATTTGGTCGGGGTGGATGTGTTGGCATATAATAAGAACGTCTCGCAACCCAAAGGTTACGAGTTCGAATCTCATCAAGGACAACTTAACCCATCTCCTAACCATAACCCAAACCCTAGCCTTGCTAATGTTAGTCAGGTAGCTAACGTTAGCCAGGTAGCTAGAATTCGTAACATATCATATGTTTGGAAAATTCGTAACACATAGAATTTTTTGCAAATCCGTAACATATTGTACGTTTTTCAAATTTGTAACATATTATATAAATTGTAATTCAAATCAAATCAAATTTTATTTGTCACATACACGTGTTTAGCAGATGTTATAGCGGGTGTAACGAAAAGCTTGTGCTTCTAGCTCCGACAGTGCAGTAATATCTATCAATTTCACAACATATACCCAATACACACAAACAAGTAAGGAATGGGATTTAAGAATATATACATACAGTGGGGAAAAAAAGTATTTAGTCAGCCACCAATTGTGCAAGTTCTCCCACTTATCAAGATGAGAGAGGCCTGTAATTTTCATCATAGGTACACGTCAACTATGACAGACAAAATGAGAAAAGAAAATCCAGAAAATCACATTGTAGGATTTTTTATGAATTTATTTGCAAATTATGGTGGAAAATAAGTATTTGGTCAATAACAAAAGTTTCTCAATACTTTGTTATATACCCTTTGTTGGCAATGACACAGGTCAAACGTTTTCTGTAAGTCTTCACAAGGTTTTCACACACTGTTGCTGGTATTTTGGCCCATTGCTCCATGCAGATCTCCTCTAGAGCAGTGATGTTTTGGGGCTGTCGCTGGGTAACACGGACTTTCAACTCCCTCCAAAGATTTTCTATGGGGTTGAGATCTGGAGACTGGCTAGGCCACTCCAGGACCTTGAAATGCTTCTTACGAAGCCACTCCTTCGTTGCCCGGGCGGTGTGTTTGGGATCATTGTCATGCTGAAAGACCCAGCCACGTTTCATCTTCAATGCCCTTGCTGATGGAAGGAGGTTTTCACTCAAAATCCCACGATACATGGCCCCATTCATTCTTTCCTTTACACGGATCAGTCGTCCTGGTCCCTTTGCAGAAAAACAGCCCCAAAGCATGATGTTTCCACCCCCATGCTTCACAGCATGGGGGTGTCCTGAGTGGCGCAGTGGTCTAAGGCACTGCATCGCAGTCCTAACTGTGCCACTAGAGATCCTGGTTCGAATCCAGGCTCTGTCGCAGCCGGCCGCGACCGGGAGACTCATGGGCGGCGCACAATTGGCCCAGCGTCGTCCAGGGTAGGGGAGGGAATGGCCGGCAGGGATGTAGCTCAGTTGATAGAACATGGCGTTTGCAACGCCAGGGTTGTGGGTTCGATTCCCACGGGGGGCCAGTATAAAAAAATATGTATTCACTAACTGTAAGTCGCTCTGGATAAGAGCGTCTGCTAAATGACTAAAATGTAAATGTAAATGTAAATGTGTTCTTTGGATGCGACTCAGCATTCTTTGTCCTCCAAACACGACGAGTTGAGTTTTTACCAAAAAGTTATATTTTGGTTTCATCTGACCATATGGCATTCTCCCAATCCTCTTCTGGATCATCCAAATGCACTCTAGCAAACTTCAGACGGGCCTGGACATGTACTGGCTTAAGCAGGGGGACACGTCTGGCACTGCGGCGTAGTGTGTTACTGATGGTAGGCTTTGTTACTTTGGTCCCAGCTCTCTGCAGGTCATTCACTATGTCCCCCCGTGTGGTTCTGGGATTTTTGCTCACCGTTCTTGTGATCATTTTGACCCCACGGGGTGAGATCTTGCGTGGAGCCCCAGATCGAGGGAGATTATCAGTGGTCTTGTATGTCTTCCATTTCCTAATAATTGCTCCCACAGTTGATTTTTTCAAACCAAGCTGCTTACCTATTGCAGATTCAGTCTTCCCAGCCTGGTGCAGGTCTACAATTTTGTTTCTGGTGTCCTTTGACAGCTCTTTTGGTCTTGGCCATAGTGGAGTTTGGAGTGTGACTGTTTGAGGTTGTGGACAGGTGTCTTTTGTACTGATAACAAGTTCAAACAGGTGCCATTAATACAGGTAACGAGTGGAGGACAGAGGAGCCTCTTAAAGAAGAAGTAACAGGTCTGTGAGAGCCAGAAATCTTGCTTGTTTGTAGGTGACCAAATACTTATTTTCCACCATCATTTGCAAATAAATTCAATACAAATCCTACAATGTGATTTTCTGGAATAAAAATTCTCAATTTGTCTGTCATAGTTGACGTGTACCTATGATGAAAATTACAGGCCTCTCTCATCTTTTTAAGTGGGACAACTTGCACAATTGGTGGCTGACTAAATACTTTTTCCCCCACTGTATACATATGAGATGAGTAGTGCAAGATATGTAAACATTATTAAAGTGACTAGTGTTCCATTTCTTAAAGTGGCCAGTGATTTCAATAGGCAGCAGCAGCCTCTAATGTGCTAGTGATGGCTATTTAACAGTCTGATGGCCTTGAGATAGAAGCTGTTTTTCATTCTCTCGGTCTCAGCTTTGATGCACCTGTACTGACCTCGCATTCTGGATTATAGCGGGGTGAACAGGCAGTGGCTCGGGTGGTTGATGTCCTTGATGATCTTTTTGGAATTCCTGTGACATCGGGTGCTGTATGTTTCTTGGATGGCGGGTAGTTTGCCCCCAGTAATGCATTCGGCAGACCACACCACCCTCTGGAGAGCCCTGCGGTTGTGGGCGGTGCAGTTGCCGTACCAGGTGGTGATACAGGCCAACAGGATGCTCTCAATTGTGCATCTGTAAAAGTTTGTGAGGGTTTTAGGTGCTAAGCCGAATTTCTTCACCCTTCTGAGGTTGAAGAGGCTCTGTTGCGCCTTCTTCACCACACTGTCTGCGTGGGTGGACCATTTCAGTTTGTCGTGATGTGTACGCCAAGGAACTTGAAGCTTTCCACCTTCTCCACTGCGGTCCCGTCGATGTGGATAGGGTGGTGCAACCTCTGCTGTTTCCTGAAGTCCACGGTCATCTCCTTTGTTTTGTTGATGTTGAGTGAGAGGTTATTTTCCTGGCACCACACACACGCACACACACACACACACACACACACTGAATTGAAGTAGCTAGCAAGTTAACACATCATCACATAGTAACCTACAGGCTGTATATGATGGTTAGCACAAAGACACACAAACTCTTACTAACGTTGATAGCATGTAGCAAGCCTACCGTTAATGTTGCAGTAGGTGAATTAATAACAGATGAATCATGAATTAATAATAGATTAATTAATAGATAGTAGATGAATAGAAAGAAGTTAGAAGGGTGAACTCCTATTTTAAAGGGACAGGAAGTGTTTGCTGTACATTTGGCCAATGACAGATATTTCACATTTAACCCCACCCACTTGTGACAATCAAAATATCAAGTTGTTGCTTTTTATATGCAAAAAACAAGATAACAAAAACAAACAATGTCTCAATTTTAAAATATAATTTTAAAAAAAAGGCAATTTGTTGTTTTGTTTATCTGACAAAAACGAGATACCAAAAAATAAGTCGTTTTTCGTTTTTGAAAAAAAAAGCGTGAAAACGAAAAACGGGCCGTTTTCACGTTGCCGTTTTACATCGGAAAACGATTGGCCAGGATATACAACACTACTGCCTCAAATATCTTTCAGCAGGAACACTGAAGAGAGGATACATCGCAGTTCAGAGAGGGTGAGTTTAGAGAGGGTGTTGGTATGTTCCATGTAGCCTATTCATTATGTTGTTTTTAAATAACCTATGCTAAGTGTGCTTCTCTTGTACTGTTCAATTGGCCAAGTGTCCCCTTTAAATACAGTCCTCTGTCCTGCTACAGAACGCTGCTTCATAGGAATGAATGTTTTGCCAACTTGCTTCTTATGAATATGATTTATTTATGCAACACATAGATGCTTTAAATATTTGGCCGATGGCCTTAATATGCTTAAAGTGAAGGAGTATTGTAAGAGGCATAGAAGAGTGAAGTTTATCGGGAAGGCGACCAACAAACGGTGTGTTTTTATTTTGAATCAGTGAATGGGGTTGACAGGGAGGTATTGTTTGCTTTAAATCCGATCACCAGCCCTCTCAAGCACCCCAGGGACATTTTATTCTCTTTTTAAAATAGTTTAAAGAGGGAATGACCAAACACTTTCTCAACAACACATTTCTTACCACCGTTGTCAGTCTGTTGTTGTAACCCTTTGTGAGGTTGTCTTCCATCCAACCAGTGAAGGTGTCAGTGGGGCACAGCAGCACAAAGGGGGGGTCTCCCACCACCACTTGTTCTGTTGTATCTTTCTCCTCAAACCACAGCACAGATCAGTTCTTCAAAAGCCATTATTCACCCTAACAATTTGGTAAAATACCCATGGGGTGTGTCTGACATTTAGCTAGCTTGTTACACAGACTGTGTGAATGTGTGTGATAATAATAATAATTTGGGGGTTGCTTATATTTTGTCTATTACACACAAATGGAAATGTTTCTTGCATATCCCAACTCCCACTGAGACACCAGCGAGGCAATTACGGTTAAGTACTTTGCTCAAGGGCACGGCGACAGATTTTTCACCTTGTCGGCTCGAGGATTCAAACCAGTGACCTTTCGGTGACTGTTTCAACACTCTAACCTCGAAGCTACGTGTGCGTGTGTGTCTGTGTGTGCAGCCTTTGTGAGAGTGCATGGCTGCTTGCATATGCGTGTTTCTCTGTGTGCTACTTGATAAAGCTGGTATTTGGTCTCATTTGTTAGCTATGACTGGCTGTTGTGGCAACCCATTCTTTCACCAGACACTGTCAGAAATGTTTTGTCTTTCTTTAGACAAGGGAAAGTGGTCGGATATTAGTGTGTGTGTTTGGGTGTGTGTAGGCCTGGCTCGCAGTTGGCGTTCCAATTCATCCCAAAGGTGTTCGATGGGGTTGAGGTCAGGGCTCTGTGCAGGACAGTCAAGTTCTTCCACACCGATCTCGACAAACCATTTCTCTATGGACCTCGCTTTGTGCACGGGGGCATTGTCATGCTGAAACAGGAAAGGGCCTTCCCCAAACTGTTGACACAAAGTTGAAAGCACAGAATCGTCTAGAATGTAATTGTATGCTGTAGGGTTACAATTTACCTTCACTGGAACTAAGGGGCCTAGCCCGAACCATGAAAAACAGTCCCAGACCATTATTCCTCCTCCACCAAACTTTACAGTTGGCACTATGCATTGGGGCACGTAGCGTTCTCCTGGCATCCGCCAAACCCAGACACTGACTGGCTGATCTTGAAGTGTGATTCATCACTCCAAAGAATACGTTTCCACTGCTCCGGAGTCCAATGGTGGTGAGCATACACCACTCCAGCCGACACTTGGCATTGTGCATGGTGATCTTAGGCTTGTGTGCGGCTGCTCGGCCATGGAAACCCATTTCATGAAGCTCCCGACGAAGAGTTATTGTGCTAACCTTGCTTCCAGAGGCAGTTTGGAACTCGGTAGTGAATGTTGCAACCGAGGACAGAATATGTTTTACGCGCTACGTGCTTCATCACTCGAAGGATGAGCCATTGTTGTTCCTAGATGTTTCCACTTCACAATAACAGCACTTACAGTTGACCGGGGAAGCTCTAGCAGGGCAGAAATTTGATGAACTGCCATGTTGGAATGGTGGCATCCTATGGCGGTGCCACGTTGAAAGTCACTGAGGTTTTCAGTAAGGCCATTCTACTGCCAATGTTTGTCTATGGAGATTGCATGGATGTGAGCCCGATTTTATACACCTGTCAGCAATGGGTGTGGCTGAAATAGCCGGATCCACTAATTTGAAGGGGTGTCCACATACTTGTGTATATACAGTACTAGTCAAAACTTTGGACACACCTATTCATTCCAGGGTTTTTCTTTATTTTGACTATTTTCTACATTGTAGAATAATAGTGAAGACATCAAAACTATGAAATAACACATATGGATTCATGTTGTAACCAAAAAAGTGTTAAACAAATCAAAATATATTTTATATTTTATATTCTTCAAATAGCCACCCTTTGCCTTGATGACAGCTTTCCACACTCTTGGCATTCTCTCAACCAGCTTCACCTTGAATGCTTTTCCAACGGTCTTGAAGGAGTTCCCACATATGCTGAGCACTTGTTGGCTGCTGTTCCTTCACTCTGCGGTCCGACTCATCCAAAACCATCTCAATTGGGTTGAGGTCAGGGGATTGTGGAGGCCAGGACATCTGATGCAGCACTCCATCACTCTCCTTCTTGATAAAATAGCCCTTACACAGCCTGGAGGTGTGTTTGGTCATTGTCCTGTAGAAAAAGAAAATGATAGTCCCACTAAGCCCAAACCAGATGGGATGGCGTATCGCTGCAGAATGCTGTGGTAGCCATGCTGGTTAAGTGTGGGAAATACACATGCAGAGATCATCCGTTCACCCACACCGCGTCTCAAAAAGATACGGCAGTTGGAACCTAAAATCTCCAATTTGGACTCCAGACCAGAGGACACATTTCAAGCAGGTCGCTTTTTCTTATTGGTGTCCTTTAGTAGTGGTTTCTTTGCAGCAATTCGACCATGAAGGCCTGATTCACACAGTCCCCTCTGAACAGTTGATGTTGAGATGTGTCTGTTACTTTTATCTGGGCTGCAATTTCTGAGGCTGGTAACTCTAATGAACTTATCATCTGCAGCAGAGGTAACTCTGGGTCTTCCATTCCTCTGGCGGTCCTCATGAGAGCCAGTTTCATCATAGCGCTTGATGGTTTTTGTGACTGCACTTGAAGAAACTTTAAAAGTTCTTGAGATTTTCCGGATTGACTGACCTTCATGTCTTAAAGTAATGATGGGCTGTCGTTTCTCTTTGCTTATTTGAGCTGTTCTTGCCATAATATGGACTTGGTCTTTTACCAAATAGGGCTATCTTCTGTATACCCCCCCTACCTTGTCACAACACAACTGATTGGCTCAAACGCATTAAGAAGGAAAGAAATTCCACATATTAACTTTTAAGAAGGCACAGCTGTTAATGGAAATGCATTCCAGGTGACTACCTCATGAAGCTGGTTGAGAGAATGCCAAGTGTGTGCAAAGCTGTCATCAAGGCAAAGGGTGGCTATTTGAAGAATCTCAAATATAAAATATATTTTGATTTGTTTAACACTTTTTTGGATGCTACATGATTCCATATGTGTTATTTCATATTTTTGATTTCTTCACTATTATTCTACAATGTAAAAAATAGTAAAAATATAGAAAAACCCTTGAATGAGTAGGTGTGTCCAAACTTTTGACTGGTACTGTATAGTGTTTTTCAACTGGATAGGTAAGCTATTTCCACAGACACAGGGTTTTATTTAAAGTCCATAAGGAAAGGTAGATGTGGTATAGATATCCTGCCTGCCAGCTCTATTCATTCTGCCTCTAAGTTCATGTGAGACTTCTGGGACAATCTTTCTGGTCAGTGTAGACCTGAATAATCCAGGATTCATCCAATATCAGAACAAGCCATCACACTCTAATTTTAGACATTAATTTGATTCGCCCTTTCAGTTGAGTAATCTGTTGGGAGAGAAGTGGAAGGCAATTGTGGTGGGTGTGTCTGTACGCCTGTCTGGTGTTGAATGAGTCAGAGGGAGAGATTTGATCGCCCCCCCCCCATCTCACTGTGCACCCCTTCACACACTCTTATCCTGATATCAGCTGAATTCGTGGTGTTATTAATAGCTGTCGGCCTCCCTCTCTCTCTCCTCTCCCTCTGCCCTAGTTGTTCTGTGCTTGTTGAAGCCGGTGACTATCTTTGGAAAATCTTGAATGCTTAAAAAAAACGAAGTTATAGTTTGTTTGTTGTGCGTGTGTTTCTTGATCCGTGTTTGTGTGTTTGTGTGAGTGTGTATATTTCTGTTGACCTCCACATCCTTCTATGTGTTTTGACCTCTCCAGACCTGAATGTGTTACCATGGTGACCACTCACACACACATCACCCTGTCACTCCTGCTGTTCCACATTCTCCCGGCCACAACGGCTCAGGTTGATGACCTCATCGATGACCTCATTGTCGTCACGAACCGCGGCAGAGTCCAGGGCACTCAGCTTCCCGTGCCAGGTGGTGGATATGTCAGGGCATTCCTGGGAATTCCCTATGGGAGCCCCCCCGTTGGGGAACTGCGTTTTCGCCCTCCTCAGCCTGCAGAGGGGTGGACAGGGGTACGACATGCCACCCGCTACCCCAACTCCTGCTTCCAACCCCGGGATATAACCTTTCCTGGTAGGGATATGATATCAGAATGATGACATAGGCCTGTATAGTAAACTGGCGTAGCTTATTACACCTACATGAATGTATTGTATATGTTTGTGTGCCTTTAAACCTGTTGATGTTAGTGACGGTCTACAGTCATTGAGTACGGTTACATGCACGCAATAATGCGATTATTGTGGATAATCAGATTTATATATTAGTTAGATTAAAACATTTACATGGTTTTCAAGAAGAATGATCTCCCTAATAATCCTGTTTACATGGACATGTCAGAAATCAGGCTACCTGATGGCATTCTGATAAAGGCAGAGAATCGCCAGTCAAAATAAACGTTCTACCACAGCGACCATGTTAATCTTGGGAAGCATGTTTGATAGCAAGCTTCTAAAGGCATAATATCCTGTAGTCCACCAATTCTTCCTTGTAAGTGTCATCCATTGTGAGACTGAGTTTAAAACCTCCAACCCCTCATCCATCATATACAGTTTTAACTTGCAAGTTTCTGCTAATGATTATATACAATTTTAAATCAATCATTTAAAGAAAGGATTCTTCTTCAAGAGCTGAAGGGTGAGGGGTTGGAGCCCAACTGGGCACTGGGTAAAGATCAGGCCAGACATCACTGTCTCAGCTAATCCTTCACAACTTGCATTCTGGCCCTGGGTCATGGCAACATTTAACATTACATTTGGTTCTTAAATGTGTTACCTGTTTTAAACACATATTGCAGTAAAATGTCAGCATGAGAACAAAGCAACAGAATCAGTACAATGACTAAAGCAACGGCTACACAGTCAGGCTGCAATTGTTGACTCCCTCTTGGTCCAGTGTACAATTGCAGATTGTCTCTCCCACATGATTACTACCTTTACCTTTAATACACCAGGGGTCCAACAGAGAACCCACAATAGGGATAGCGGGGTTACTACTATTGTCAGGACGTGCATCACAGACTTTGGGGGCTTTATACATCTGGTAAAAGGTCACGTCATCTGGTCTCTTTGGGCGATAGGTGATAAAGGGCAGGGATGACATCACACTTAGGGTGTAATTCACTCCCAGGGGGACCCCCATATACAGTGAGGGAAAAAAGTATTTGATCCCCTGCTGATTTTGTATGTTTGCCCACTGACAAAGACATGATCAGTCTATAATTTTAATGGTAGGTTTATTTGAACAGTGAGAGACAGAATAACAACAAAAAAATCCAGAAAAACGCATGTAAAGAATTTAATGAATTAATTTGCATTTTAATGAGGGAAATAAGTATTTGACCCGTCTGCAAAACATGACTTAGTATTTGGGGGCAAAACCCTTGTTGGCAATCACAGAGGTCAGACGTTTCTTGTAGTTGGCCACCAGGTTTGCACACATCTCAGGAGGGATTTTGTCCCACTCCTCTTTGCAGATCTTCTCCAAGTCATTAAGGTTTCGAGGCTGACGTTTGGCAACTCAAACCTTCAGCTCCCTCCACATATTTTCTATGGGATTAAGGTCTGGAGACTGGCTAGGCCACTCCAGGACCTTAATGTGCTTCTTCTTGAGCCACTCCTTTGTTGCCTTGGCCGTGTGTTTTGGGTAATTGTCATGCTGGAATACCCATCCACGACCCATTTTCAATGCCCTGGCTGAGGGAAGGAGGTTCTCACCCAAGATTTGATGGTACATGGCCCCGTCCATCGTCCCTTTGATGTGGTGAAGTTGTCCTGTCCCCTTAGCAGAAAAACACCCCCAAAGCATAATGTTTCCACCACCATGTTTGACGGTGGGGATGGTGTTCTTGGGGTCATAGGCAGCATTCCTCATCCTCCAAACACAGCGAGTTGAGTTGATGCCAAAGAGCTTGATTTTGGTCTCATCTGACCACAACACTTTCACTCAGTTCTCCTCTGAATCATTCAGATGTTCATTGGCCAACTTCAGACGGGCATGTATATGTGCTTTCTTGAGCAGGGGGACCTTCATGGCGTAGTGTGTTACCAATTGTTTTCTTGGTGACTATGGTCCCAGCTGCCTTGAGATCATTGACAAGATCCTCCCGTGTAGTTCTGGGCTGATTCCTCACCGTTCTCATGATCATTGCAACTCCACGAAGTGAGATCTTGCATGGAGCCGCAGGCCGAGTGAGATTGACAGTTATTTTGTGTTTCTTCCATTTGCGAATAATCGCACCAACTGTTGTCACCTTCTCACCAAGCTGCTTGGCGATGGTCTTGTAGCCCATTCCAGCCTTGTGTAGGTCTACAATCTTGTCCCTGACATCCTTGGAGAGCTCTTTGGTCTTGGCCATGGTGGAGAGTTTGGAATCTGATTGATTGAGTGCTTCTGTGGACAGGTGTCTTTTATACAGGTAACAAACTGAGATTAGGAGCACTCCCTTTAAGAGTGGAAATTCTAACCAAAAAGAGAAGAGAGACTGTAGATTCTTCAAACAACAACTTTATTGTAAGATTGGAAAAAATGGAGCGGTTAACAATCACTCAATGGTGCAGAGTTAAGAGCCCAACGAACAGAGTTGGCTCTCAGCTTTTCTAGAAAGGACAACCTCTTTGTTTTACGTGGCAGTTAGCAGATATGTGGAAACAGGGGCGGAACATAGTGTAAAAGGTAAGGGTTGGGGTGAGGTGTGACCCAGGTGCTGTGCAAGATATACAGTAGGCAGTAGGCAGAGATGGTGAAACAAGGATCTTTACTGGTGGTCCCGAAGCCAAAATAAAAAATAACGGACTTATCACGATAAAAGAAAGGCGGAGCAAATAAGTCTCCAAAAACAGGCTGACAGCCAAAATACGAAATACTAACTATGACTGAAACAAATAACGAAACAGGGATAACACTTCTCAAGTACCTGTACATAGATCTCCGATCAGACACCGTGTAGTACTTCTGGACATAGAGAAACTAGCAGAGAAAACTGAGCAAGGGAACACAGGGAAGTGAGGGCATAAATACACAGGTTAACCAATAGACACAGGTGACACCATTAGAATGATGATTAGTCCCGACTGTGAGTGAGGAGGTGCCTAAGGTTGTCGGAGGATGACACCTAGTGGGTCACTCCAGAACTGCAACCCCTTTCTGTAACTGCGACCCCCTCTTGTAACAGTAACCCCCCCACCCAAGCTTGGTGAAGACCCAGGCTCCCTGCAACGACTCGAATGCCGTCGTCATCAAGGGGAGTGGGTAGCGGTTCTTAACCGCGATGTCGTTGAGCGCCCGGTAATCAATGAGAGGCCGCTGCCCACCGTCCTTTTTCCCCACGAAGAAGAAGCCTGCGCCTGCTGGTGAGGTAGAGGGATAGATTTGACCCTCGACAAGTACCTCGTCGATATACTCCCTCATGGCCAGCGTCTCCGGCCGGGACAAGGCAAACAATCGCCCTCGTGTGGGCATGGCGCCCGGCAGGAGATCGATAGCGCAGTCGTAAGGCGTGTGAGGATGTAGGCACTTGGCACGCCTCTTACTAAAATACTCCTGGGGAACGCCTGCCAGGTCTGTAGCCGCTGTCTGTATCCACCGTCCTCCCGGTGGCAGATGCCGCAAGGGTGGTAGGCGATTCGGAGTGCGGGCCCTGGGGAAGACGTGAGGACTGGTAGGTTGACTGGGACGGTCGTTTGGGCTGATGAGTGGTCTGTGGAGACTGGAACAGGATTGGGGCGGAGCCTGCCTCCAGGATGAGCCGCCCCGTGGATCAGTCTATCAGGGGTTAGTGGGCGACCAGGACTCCGGAGAGTCCTCAATGAAAAACTGGATATCCTCCTACAGCCCCCCCACCACCCGGATAGTGCGCTGGGTGATGAAGCCCGACCTCAACGGCCGGCCGTCCAGGCCCATGACCGGAACCGGCTCGGAGAGGGAGAGTAACGGAACGCTCCACCCTTGGGCCAGCCCCGCGTCCATCAGGTTTCCCGCGGCCCCAGAATCCACCAGTGCATACGCCCGACGCGCAGCTCAGGCCCACTGAACCCTGATAGGGAGAAAAGTCTGGGAGTCTCTGGAGTTGGGGTTTCGGTTCCGGCTCTCTAGCTCCCCTCCCGATACTAGCGAGCCCTCCCATTTCCCGGCTTCTTCTGGCATGAGTCGCAGTGCTAACCTGCTTGGACGCAGTACAGGCAACGTCCCTGGCGCAGACGCCTCTGCCTCTCCATCCTGGACAAGCGCGCCGCCCCCAGCTGCATAGCCTCCTCCTGAGGCGTCTTCTCCCTGAATCGGCGGAAAGCCTCTGGGTTGATAGGTGGACGTGGAGGCGTGCCTTGCGTCATCCCTCTCTCATGCGCCCTCTCATGACGGCGATTGTCTACCCGCACCGAGAGTTCAATGAGGCTGTCCAGTCATTCATGCAAGGAGAGTTCGTCCTTCATCCCCTCCGATAGCCCCTGGGCGTAAAGGACGACCAGGGCGGCCTCCTCCCATCCTGCCTCTCGAGCCCGGCCACTTATATAGCTAGGCCACGTATATAGTTATAAACATACTAAAACGTGCTCAAGTCAATTAGTCAGTTTCCAACAGTCCCTCATCTAGAACAATGATCACTCGCATGTTTCACACAACCTAGAAATCATATTGACTTTCACAGGGAAGAAAGAGAACACGTTATAACAGTTTCAAACCAACCTTGATGATAATGAGATTGGGGTGAGGACCACAAAGCCCCTACTATCAACATCCCAATTATGGATAGCCCAAGCCAGTGGGTTTTCTGGTAACCTCCCTCTCGGAAGACACAAAAAGATAAGGTTTCCCTGGGAGGAACCCTCCCTAGACTGGATTCTTACAAATATTTAATTAGTTTCAGAAACCACCTGCAGGATGAGCAGTGCACCCTCCCCTCACTTTGTACTCTCCTCACAGTTTTAGGGGCAGCTTTCTGTCTCTCCGTCTCGCCTTTCCGAATCATAATTAGACCTATTGATAAATTATACAACCCAAATTTAGAATGACAGTCCTTAGTGCTTCACGTTGGTTCTCTCACTCAAATTTTAAGACCCTCAACTTAGCACATACTGGTGCTGGCAGAATGTACATTTACATTGACATACAGTATATTCATCTTATTTTTCTAGCATTAACTTTTCTCATGACGACCCCCATTTGTGGTAATGACAGATTGATATCTCAAGGCATTCTTAGTCTAAATTACTATACATTTCCCAGTGTGCAGACCTCCACAATCAACCTGATACCCCAAATAAACAATTTTGGACAAGCCATCATCAATTACGGGCACGGTTGACCACCCCCCTCCTTCAGGGCACTCATTCTTCTGGCGTCTTCATTTTCTAATTCAGATAGCTTTACAGTTTGTCTTCCCAATGGCACACATGTTCAAAGTGGATGGCCCTTGATAATATCCCATTTTACCAAGCATACGAATCTCTCACCTGAGCCGCCACTGTCCTTTACTCTCCGTTATGTCTTGTCCATCCTCCTACCAGTATACCAGCATCATAAGAGAAGTTTGGACGAGATCTCTCTCCATGCTCACTCCACGTGGACTCGTGTCGCACTCCTGAGAGAAAAGGCATGAGGAAAAAGGCAGTTGATAGCTTCGACTGGATGCTGTGGACAGGTTGCTGGCTCGGACTCAGGTCTCACGATAGAAGTGGTGAAGGACAGGGCCATAGTGAACACCATTTTCGCCATTACTTCAGCAGGTTAGAGGGAGTGAGGTTCACACCGTTCCTGGCCGAATTATCCCTTCCATGCATGTAGATACCATCTGTGGTCACCTTCGCCATAACCTGGAGAGAGAGGACAGACCAGAACAACAGTTTAGTTTAGGGCATTTCTGATTCAAGAAGTTATTTACTGTATGACAAATGACAAATGATTCACGTACCAATATTCTTAATACAGATTTCTAAGACAAATGTCAAAGAGAACAACAACACACAATTAAACAATTTTTGCAAATTTGCTTATACTCCCTTATCACATTGGCGACCTCACCACAACATTACAGGTTCAGGGAGTTAGAGGGCTAATCCTTAGGGACAAATCCCAACCATCCAGCAGACCCACTCTGATGAGATTTGTTCTTGAAGCAAGACAAAAACAAAGAAAACATCAACAGCAATACAAATATATCACTAGAGGTTGGGAAAACTTCAATCCATTTGGAGTAACTGTCAACATATTTTTTCCTTTTACAGGCAGGCATGTGTGGAAAATCTATTTGCATATTTACCCAAAGGGCCCCAGGGGACTGGTAATTCCCCCTTTGGACACATGACTCACATCGTGATTCATGCATCCCCCCAATAAACAACACAGCCTGTTAAGTCAAAATAGCAAATAAAATTAGAATTACAAGCCTTGATAACTCCATCTTAACTTAATTGTATCCCATAAGGTAATTCAAGGAATAGTAAAATAGACTAGAGACAGGTGTCCCTCATTCAGGGGCAGCGCTCTCTCTCTGTCCTTCTCGTGGTCCGAATCACATATAGGACTATTGCTAAATTATAAACTTCTTCCCAATCATTAGTGTTTACATATTACATTTAAATCTCACCCAATGTCTCTAGGCTCTCTAGTGAGGGTGATCAGGCCTCACCAGAAAGTCAGAACAGCGGTCAGAGGTCATTCAACCCCATTAAGTGGGTGTTTCTTTCCCTTTTCTTCCTCTGTATCTCCAACATGATTTAAACAATGTTTATTCAAACATTTCAAACATTTTGTGTATCAGGTTTACATTGGGTTTTTCAGTACATTTCTTATCAGGAGAATTTACATGTGTGCAACCAAAACTCTGACAATAGAAACGTTAGAACATTTAATTTCTGTGCCCTTTAAGGTGTATCATTTCTAACCTGTGAAAAACCCACTAAAACTAAAATAAAAAGACCCCACACAATAAATCACACACGGTATTAACACCACTAACAAATATTCATAACAGGTGGGTTGTGTATGTTTGTGCCGGCATTTGTTGTATAACGTAGGGTGAAAACAAACAAATGGCCAGGCCTTACTTAATTGGGAGCTCCCTTTACGGCCGGATCTGCATACCTTTATACTTAATAGAACTGCAGAATTTCATTAACTGCTCTCCCAAGACAACACCGTCGGGAAACATTTAAAAGGGAGAGATAGGGACACCCCATCCTCTCCTGGAATAGAAAATAAACATTTAGTTAGTTTTCACTTTGCTAAATCTTAATCAGTCCAAACAATTCAACATTTTAATTCTTACTTTCCAATTAACTTTCCAATTCATTTCTTTCCCGCTTCCTTTGTTACTTTCACTAGTCTACATACCTGTTTCCTTCAACTCAGAAAGCACTCTCAATCACCATCACCCAGTACATTTCTCTTCCACTCTAACACTTGTTTCATTCTACAATCTCTACTAAACTCTACCTCTGTCTTTCCAGCTAACGTTACTTTACCAGGTGAACAAAACGTTTTAAATTACAGACAAAACAAAACATGATAACTTCTGTTCACAGGGAGGCCACTGTCCTCCCTCCACTCTTTAATCATTTGTGTTTTAATCCACTCCAACATTTACTGTATATACTATAACCAATCTCCGTTGGATGTTCACTATTTGCTTCACACTCATTTCATTGGTTATTAATCTTATACTTTACAGTCTAAGAATTAACAATCCACACTCTCCTCATTCACACGGGAGGCTATTCCTCCTGTCAAAAAGTTTAGTCATTCACACTTATTCTCTCATACATGCATGTTCAACACACCACTGTGCAGTATTCAACACTCACTTCTCTATTTTCGCTACTCGTAGCTCTCAGGCTACATAGCCATTTATCTTATGTCTATCTTCACTACTCGTAGCTCTCAGGCTACATATACATCTTACGCCTACAAACAGTACTTCCAACGGGGCTCTCACTAGCTCGCCAAATCCCCTCTCTGGGATTTAGGATCCTTGTCATTATTTTCACTACAAATTCATTTAAATTGACTTACTGAAATTCAGTGGGTTATAAATTGACTAACTGAAATTCAGTGGGTTGTCCTGTTCAGATTCGTGAATGTGGTGTGTTCTCCCAGGCAGTCATCAGTGGAGGTCTGGTCAGGGCGGGTCCACTCGTCTTTGGTTGGACAGGAATTTCCCTCACTCTCCCACGGAGAATGCCACCGGTGTCTCCTTCGCAGAACTTCACTGTTGCTCTGCCCAGACAGAATCACACATGACTGTTCGTGACGCCATTAAACTCGGTCCACACGCATCGCACTATGCGGTAGAGCATGATACTTCTAGGAATGCACAATTTCTCTTTCACTTAGCGCAAAGTGATTTCGACAATTAAAAATGTAAATTACAATGTAAACGTACTCAATGTTGTTTTGTAGTCAAGTCGTTAACTACAAGTATTTGACTCTGACTTCCTTACTCCGAGGGTTCCGTGGAGCTGAGATGTGGAACCCCAACACCAAGATGAGTGAAGACTGTCTCTACCTCAACATATGGACTCCTCCCCCTTCGTCTAAGACACACCCTAAACGTTCCAAGAGCTCCTCCCCTGATTCCTCATTAGCTCCTGTCATGGTGTGGATATACGGGGGCGGGTTCACTACAGGCACCGCCTCCCTAGACCTGTATGACGGACAATTCCTTAGCCAATCAGAAGGCGTGGTGGTAGTGTCCATGAACTACAGGTTGTCCTGGAACAATAGAGTGAAACTAATATACTTATTTGAGCTTCATGTATTCATGTTTTAAAAATACGCCGATAATAATGTTTGTTTTGATTGGACACAGGCTCGGCCCGTTGGGTTTCCTGTCTCTTCCTGAGAGCAAGTTTGTCCGTGGCAACGCTGGAATGCTGGACCAGCGCTTGGCTCTGCACTGGGTAGCCAATAACATCGCTGCCTTCGGCGGCGACCCTTCAAAGGTTACTCTCCTTTTTTCTATTACTGTTTAAAAATATATATATATTCTTTATTTTACAATGTTTAGTTATTCTCCGTTTTTATGTTGTTGTTGTCAGGTGACGTTGTTTGGGGAGAGCGCTGGCGCTGCGTCTGTGGGTCTCCATCTCCTCTCCCCTGGCAGCCATGGTCTGTTCAACAGGGCAATACTACAGAGTGGTTCCCCTAACACTCCATGGGCTGTCATGACTCAACAGCAGGCCTGGAACAGGTCACTGTCCCTGGGTAGGCTGCTGGGTTGTCCCCTGGCACCTCTGGCTGTCCTGGAGCAGTGTCTACTAAGAGCCCATCCAGAGGATATAATCAACCAGCAGTACAACGTCCTCTCTCTCCCCACGCTCATTGCATTACCATTTACCCCCTCTGTCGACCAAAACTTCCTACCAGACATGCCCGAGGTGTGTGTGAATTTATGGTTGCTTGTTTGGGCCCAAAGGCACTGAACAAACAAGCAGCTGACTCCCGTGGATATTTCCAGTGTCATAATGTCTAATATTCTCTATCTGGTCCTATAGGTTCTGCTCCGGACGGGACACTTCCTGAAGAAAGAGGTGCTGATTGGTTTGAACCAAGATGAGGGGACCTACTTCCTGGTTTACGGGGCGCCAGGATATGACATCACTAGCCAGAGCCTGATCAGCAGGGAGAACTTCCTGAAAGGGGTGGACCTAGTGTTGCCGGGATTCAGTAATGTCACGAGGGAGACAGCCATCTTCCAGTACACTGATTGGACAGATGAGAATAGTGCGTTGAAGAATCGTGATTTGCTCGGACGAATGGTGGGAGACCGTTATTTTAACTGCCCTGTGCTGGAGTTTGCCCAGAGGTAAGGACAACATATTGTAGAGTTACACAAAGCTCTAATGCAGGGGTCTCCATCCCTGTTCCTGGAGAGCTACCCTTCTGTATGTTTTTAATCCAACCCCAGTGTAACTAACCTGCTTCATTTTATCAACCAGTTAATTATTAGAATCAAGTGCATTAGATCAGGGTTGGTGTGAAAACCTACAGGACCAGTAGTTATCCTGTACAGCAATGCATTATTCACAGCGCCTTGCAAAAGTATTCATTCCCCTTGTCGATTTTCCTATTTTGTTGCATTACAACCTGCAATTTTATTTGGATTTCATTTAATGGACATACACAAAATCGTCCAAATTGGTGAAGTGTAATGAAAAAAAATTACTTGTTTCAAAAAAATTCTAAAAAATAAATAACGGAAAAGTGGGTCATGCATATGGATTCACCCCCCTTTGCTATGAAGCCCCTAAATAAGATCTGGTGCAACCAATTACCTTCAGAAGTCACATAATTAGTTAAATAAAGTCCACCTGTGTGCAATCTAAGTGTCACATGATCTGACACATGATCTCAGTGTATATACACCTGTTCTGAAAGGCCCCAGAGTCTACAACCCCACCAAGCAAGGGGCACCACCAAGCAAGCGGCACCATGAAGACCAAGGAGCTCTCCAAACAGGTCAGGGACAAAGTTGTAGAGAAGTACAGATCAGGGTTGGGTTATAAAAAAATATCTGAAACATTGAACATCCCACGGAGCACCATTAAATCATTTTTTTTTTATGGAAATAATATGGCACCACAACAAACCTGCCAAGAGAGGGCCGCCTACCATAACTCACAGACCAGGCAAGGAGGGCATTAATCAGAGAGGCAACAAAGAGACCAAAGATAACTCTGAAGGAGCTGCAAAGCTCCGCAGCGGAGATTGGAATGTCTGTCCATACGACCACTTTAAGCCTAACACTCTACAGAGCTGGGCTTTACGGAAGATTGGCCAGAAAAAAGCCATTGCTTAAAGAAAAAAATAAGCAAACACATTTGGTGTTCGCCAAAAGGCATGTGGGAGACTCCCCAAACATATGGAAGAAGGTACTCTGGTCAGATGAGACTAACATTGAGGTTTTTGGCCATCAAGGAAAATGTCTGGCGCAAACCCAACACCTCTCATCACCGCGAGAACACCATCCCCACAGTGAAGCATGGTGGTGGCAGCATCATGCTGTGGGGATGTTTTTCATTGGCAGGGACTGGGAAACTGGTCAGAATTGATGGAATGATGGAAGGCGCTAAATACAGGGAAAGTATTGAGGGAAACCTGTTTCAGTCTTCCATAGATTGGGACAGAGGTTCACCTTCCAGCAGGACAATGACCATAAGCATACTGCTGAAGCAACATTCAAGTGGTTTAAGGGGAAACATTTAAATGTCTTGGAATGGCCTAGTCAAAGCCCAGACCTCAATCCAATTGAGAATCTGTTGTATGAATGAAAGATTGCTGTACACCAGCGGAACCCATCAAACTTGAAGGAGCTAGAACAGTTTTGTCTTGAAGAATGGGCAAAAATCCCAGTGGATAGGTGTGCCAAGCTTATAGAGACATACCCCAAGAGACTTGCAGCTGTAATTGCTGCAAAAGGTGGCTCTACAAAGTATTGACTTTGGGGGGGTGAATAGTTATGCACGCTCAAGTTCAGTTTTTTTGTATTTTTTCTTGTTTGTTTCACAATAAAAAATAGTCTTCAAAGTTGTAGGCATGTTGTGTAAATCAAATGATACAAACCCCCCCAAAATCAATTTTAATTCCAGGTTGTAAGGCAACAAAATAGGAAAAATGCCAAGGGGGGTGAATACTTTCGCAAGCCACTGTACATGGAATGTTGAGTTGTGTAGTTAGTATCTGGCCCCTTTATGCTCAGTTTTTAATGAACTCTCCTATCATTACCATACCTGCCCCCAGGTACACAGAACACTGGGGTAAGGCCCGCCTCTTCCTGTTTGACCACCGCTCCTCCACCAATTCCTGGCCGGCATGGATGGGTGTGATGCACGGCTATGAAATTGAGTTCGTCTTTGGAATGCCGCTGAACAGCACCCTGGGATACCTGGAGGACGAAGTGGTCATGAGCAGGAGGATGATGAAGTACTGGGCGAACATGGCTAGGACCGGGTGAGATAGACCTCATATAGATATTATATAGACATGGCTAGGACCGGGTGAGATAGACCTCATATAGATATTATATAGACACGGCTAGGACCGGGTGAGATAGACCTCATATAGATATTATATAGACATGGCTAGGACCGGGTGAGATAGACCTCATATAGATATTATATAGACATGGCTAGGACCGGGTGAGATAGACCTCATATAGATATTATATAGACATGGCTGGGACCAGGTGAGATAGACCTCATATAGATATTATATAGACATGGCTGGGACCAGGTGAGACATCATATACAGTACCAGTCAAAAGTTTGGACACACCTACTCATTCCAGGGTTTTTCTTTATTTTTACTATTTTCTACATTGTAGAATAATAGTGAATACATCAAAACTATGAAATAACACATATAGAATCATGTAGTAACCAAAAAGTGTTAAATAAATCAAAATATATGTTATATTTGAGATTCTTCAAATAGCCACCCTTTGCATTGATGACAGCTTTGCAGAGTCATTATCTCAACCAGCTTCACCTGGAAAGCTTTTCCAACAGTCTTGAAGGAGTTCCTACATATGCTTCTTAAGGTAGTCACCTGGAATGCATTTCAATTAACAGATGTACATTCTTTAAAGTTAATTTGTGGAATTTATTTCCTTAATGCGTTTGAGCCAATCAGTTGTGTTGTGACAAGGTGTGTGGGGGGGGGGGGGGGGGGGGGGGGGGATACAGAAGTAATCCCTATTTGGTAAAAGATCAAGAACAGCTCAAATAAGCAAAGGGAAACGACAGTCCATCATTACTTTAAGACATGAAGGTCAGTCAATACGCAGTCGCAAAAAACATCAAGCGCTATGATGAAACTGGCGGTCATAAGGTCCGCCACAGGAATGGAAGACCCAGAGTTACCTTTGCTGCAGGGGATAAGTTCATTAGAGTTACCAGCCTCAGAAATTGCAGCCCAAATAAATGCTTCACAGAGTTCAAGTAACAGACACATCTCAACATGTGTTCAGACGGGACTGTGTGAATCAGGCCTTCATGGTCAAATTGCTGCAAAGAAACCACTACTAAAGGACACCAATAATAAGAAGAGACCTGGTTGGGGCAAGAAACACGAGCAATGGACATTAGACCGGTGGAAATATGTCCTTTGGTCTGGAGTCCAAATTGGAGATTTTGGGTTCTAACTGCTGTGTCTTTGTGAGACGCGGTGTAGGTGAACGGATGATCTCTGCATGTGTATTGCCCACACGTAAAGCATGGAGGAGGAGGTGTGATGGTGTGTGGGTGCATTGCCTGTGACACTGTCTGTGATTTATATAGAATTCAAGGCACACTTAGCCAGCATGACTACCACAGCATTCTACAGCGATACGCCATCCCATCTGGTTTGGGCTTAGTGGGACTATCATTTGTTTTTCAAGAGGACAATGATCCAACACACCTCCAGGCTGTGTAAGGGCTATTTTACTAAGAATGAGAGTGATGGAGTGCTGCATCCAATTGAGATGGTTTGACATGAGTCGGACCGCAGAGTGAAGGAAAAGCAACCAACAAGTGCTCAGCATATGTGGGAACTCCATCAAGACTGTTGGAAAATCATTCCAGGTGAAGCTGGTTGTGAGAATGCCAAGAGTGTGCAAAACTGTCATCAAGGCAAAGGGTGGCTATTTGAAGAATCTCAAATATAGAATATTCTTTGATTTGTTTAACACTTTTTTGTTTACCATATGAGTCCATATGTGTTATTTCATAGTTTTGATGTCTTCACCATTATTCTACAATGTACAATTACATTTTAGTCATTTAGCAGACGCTCTTATCCAGAGCGACTTACAGGAGCAATTAGGGTTAAGTGCCTTGCTCAAGGGCTTAACAACAGATTTTTCACCTAGTCGGCTCGGGGATTAGAACCAACAACCTTTCGGTTAGTGGCACAACGGTCTTAACCGCTAAGCTACCTGCCGCCCCCATGTAGAAAATAGTCAAGGTAAAGAAAAACCTTTGAATGAGTAGGTGTGTCCAAACTTTTGACTGGTATTGTAGATATTATATAGACATGGCTGAGACCAGGTGAGACCTCGTATAGATATTATATAGACATGTCTGAGACCAGGTGAGACGTCATAAAGATATGATGCATATCAGATCATATATTTATTTTTTATTTTTTTATTTAACATGTTATTTTAACAGGGAAGACATTGAGACCTACAGTATGTCTCTTTTACAAATATGCCCTTTATATACAACATATATATACAGTGGGGAAAAAAAGTATTTAGTCAGCCACCAATTGTGCAAGTTCTCCCACTTAAAAAGATGAGAGAGGCCTGTAATTTTCATCATAGGTACACGTCAACTATGACAGACAAATTGAGAAATAAAAATCCAGAAAATCACATTGTAGGATTTTTTATGAATTTATTTGCAAATTATGGTGGAAAATAAGTATTTGGTCACCTACAAACAAGCAAGATTTCTGGCTCTCACAGACCTGTAACTTCTTCTTTAAGAGGCTCCTCTGTCCTCCACTCGTTACCTGTATTAATGGCACCTGTTTGAACTTGTTATCAGTATAAAAAACACCTGTCCACAACCTCAAACAGTCACACTCCAAACTCCACTATGGCCAAGACCAAAGAGCTGTCAAAGGACACCAGAAACAAAATTGTAGACCTGCACCAGGCTGGGAAGACTGAATCTGCAATAGGTAAGCAGCTTGGTTTGAAGAAATCAACTGTGGGAGCAATTATTAGGAAATGGAAGACATACAAGACCACTGATAATCTCCCTCGATCTGGGGCTCCACGCAAGATCTCATCCCGTGGGGTCAAAATGATCACAAGAACGGTGAGCAAAAATCCCAGAACCACACGGGGGGACCTAGTGAATGAACTGCAGAGAGCTGGGACCAAAGTAACAAAGCCTACCATCAGTAACACACTACGCCGCCAGGGACTCAAATCCTGCAGTGCAAGAAATGTCCCCCTGCTTAAGCCAGTACATGTCCAGGCCCGTCTGAAGTTTGCTAGAGTGCATTTGGATGATCCAGAAGAGGATTGGGAGAATGTCATATGGTCAGATGAAACCAAAATATAACTTTTTGGTAAAAACTCAACTCGTCGTGTTTGGAGGACAAATAATGCTGAGTTGCATCCAAAGAACACCATACCTACTGTGAAGCATGGGGGTGGAAACATCATGCTTTGGGGCTGTTTTTCTGCAAAGGGACCAGGACGACTGATCTGTGTAAAGGAAAGAATGAATGGGGCCATGTATCATGAGATTTTGAGTGAAAACCTCCTTCCATCAGCAAGGGCATTGAAGATGAAACGTGGCTGGGTCTTTCAGCATGACAATGATCCCAAACACACCGCCCGGGCAACAAAGGAGTGGCTTCGTAAGAAGCATTTCAAGGTCCTGGAGTGGCCTAGCCAGTCTCCAGATCTCAACCCCATAGAAAATCTTTGGAGGGAGTTGAAAGTCCGTGTTGCCCAGCGACAGCCCCAAAACATCACTGCTCTAGAGGAGATCTGCATGGAGGAATGGGCCAAAATACCAGCAACAGTGTGTGAAAACCTTGTGAAGACTTACAGAAAACGTTTGACCTGTGTCATTGCCAACAAAGGGTATATAACAACGTATTGAGAAACTTTTGTTATTGACCAAATACTTATTTTCCACCATAATTTGCAAATAAAATCATTAAAAATCCTACAATGTGATTTTCTGGATTTTTTTTCCTCATTTTGTCTGTCATAGTTGACGTGTACCTATGATGAAAATTACAGGCCTCTCTCATCTTTTTAAGTGGGAGAACTTGCACAATTGGTGGCTGACTAAATACTTTTTTCCCCCACTGTATACACATTATACTCAACCTATATACCTATATATTCTCTGGGAATTAAATGTATTCAGACCCCTTTACTTTTTTCAAATTTTGTTACATTACAGCCTTATTCTAAAATTGATTAAATAGTTTTTTCCTCATCAAACTACACACAATACCCCATAATGACAAAGCAAAAACAGGTTTTTAGAAATTGTTGCACTTTTTTTATTTTATTTTTTTACAGAAATATCACATTAACTAAGTATTCAGACCCTTTACTGAGGACTTTGTTGAAGCACCTTTGGCAGCAATGACAACCTCAAGTCTTCTTGGGTATGACGCTACAAGCTTGGCATACCTGTATTTGTGGAGTTTCTCCCATTCTTCTCTGCAGATCCTCTCAAGCTCTGTCAGGTTGGATGGGGAGCGTTGCTGCACAGCTATTTTCAGGTCTCTCCAGAGATGTTCGATTGGGTCCGGGCTCCGGCTGGGCCACTCAAGGACATTTAGAGACTTGTTCCGAAGCCACTCCTGCATTGTCTTGGCTGTGTGCTTAGGGTTGTTGTCCTGTTGAAAGGTGAACCTTCGCCCCAGTCTGAGGTCCTTGTCACGTTCGTTGAAGGACGGGTCAGACCAAGGCACAGCGTGAAATGCATACATGTTTATTATATAAACTAAACACACGAACAAAACAACGTAACGTGAAATCCTCAGGCTAAACACAATACAAGCCTATACACAGAACAAGATCCCACAACTAATGATTGCCAACAGGCTACTTAAGTATGATCCCCAATCAGAGACAACGAGCGACAGCTGCCTCTGATTGGGAATCACACCCGGCCAAACATAGAAACACAAAACCTAGAATGTAAACAGAAATAATAACATAGATCTCCACACCCTGACTCAACATACAAGAGTCCCATGAGTCAGGGCATGACAGTCCTGAGCAGTCTGGAGCAGGTTTTCATCAAGGATTTCTCTGTACTTTCTCCGTTCATCTTTGCCTCAATCCTGACTAGTCTCCCAGTCCCTGCCGCTGAAAAACATCCCCACAGCATGATGCTGCCACCACCATGCTTCACCATAGGGATTGTGCCAGGTTTCCTCCAGACATGACGCTTGGCATTAAGGCCAAAGAGTTCAATCTTGGTTTCATCAGACCAGAGAATCTTGTTTCTCATGGTCTGAGAGTCTTTAGGTGCCTTTTGGCAAACTCCAAGCGTACTGTCATGTGCCTTTTTCTGAGGAGTGGCTTCCGTCTGGCCACTCTACCATAAAGGCCTGATTGGTGGAGTGCTGCAGAGATTTCTAAGTCAGTGTAAAGTTACTCTCACGGTTTTACTGACATGATTGGTTGATTGTTGTGTTTTCCCTGGCAGGAACCCAAGCATAGAGGAAGGGGATTGGCCACTTTTCACCCTGGACCAACAGGAATACATCACCCTAAACTCTTCCCCTCCACACACTCAAAAGAGGCTTGCAGCTCATCAATGTCAGTTCTGGAACAACTTCCTCCCCAAACTGCAGGACGTCACTGGTGAGAACACACACAGGCACACACATACGCAAGTGTGATGGCCGTGTCAGGCCGCACATCAAAAATATAATTGCTTCTTATGCACATTAATCTTGCACATAGTGGGCAGAGATTGGGTGATGCTGCATCAGGGCCCTCCAGGGGCCTCTGATGCCTAAACTAGTCTGTGGAAGTGCACCATGGCTGGGTTGGCCAAGGCTCCAGCTCCCTCTCCTCTCCAGAGTGCTGGAGGTCTGAGTGGGAGTCGGGTAAGTCTCCACTTCACAGAGCTCCAACTGTAGAGGGTGAATAACACTCACTCCCCTGCACTTAATTCATTACACACACACGCATCGGGCTCATTATACAAACAGCATCTGTGGCCTCCCCGGTTTGAAGATCATGATGTGGCTGTGCGTGCGTATGAGGTGTAACCCAAGGGAATCTTCAGGTCAAGATAATTTTGTTGTTAATCTACTTAGTCAAAGATAACTCACCGGAAATTATTTATTTAGGAAGTATTTTAGATCCACTTGCCTTATTTCATTGTTTAGGCTTTTTGAAAGGTTGCTAGGTGATCTGTGTACTTCTAAATGTGTGTTTTTTTGGTTAGTTCTCTTGGCACAATATAAAAGAGCACTTACGTTTAGTTGGTTTGGTTTTCTTTAATCCTGAGAGAGAAAAGATGGTAGCTTAACAGTGTTTTCAAGCTGTGTGTGTATGTGGTTTGTCTCTGCATGCAAATTGCACAGCACAAAGCTGACAAACACACAAACACACATTACGATACAGAGATATGTATATCCCTTCTACAAGGTTGAGGTCAATTGTGTTTGGAACATTTAACTGGGATGGAACTCGTGTGTGTGTGTGTTTGATTGGCGCGGGACATTGGAGTCCCCGGCCTTTGTGATTTGGGGAAGTGTGATTGATTTTGACGCTGATATGGAATCAATCAATGGAGTCTAATTCCTGTGCACGGACGTCCGCTGGGTTCTGTGCTTCGTTGCACAAAATGGCAAAAAAAATGTTTTCTCTGTCTTAATTTGTTGCACACACACACTTCCTGAAGTTCAGAGGTGGTTGATGCCAACAAATGTCATTGCCATTGTCATTTACAGTGTTATTTGCGGTTCGCTTTAACCCAAGTCTATTAGTTGGGGAGGTTGGCTTTGCCCTTGTCACGACTTCCGCCGAGGCTGCCTCCCCTCCTTGTTCGGGCAGGCTTCGGCGTTCGTCGTCACCGGCTTACTAACCACTGCCGCCCCAATTATCATCATCACATTTGTCTTGTCTTGTCAATCACACACACCTGGTTCTAATCCCCTCATTAGTCTGTGTATATGTGTTCCCTCTTTTCCCTTGTCCTTTTGGGTGATTGTTTGTATGTGAGAGTAGTGTAGCTCGGTGGAGCTACTCGTATCATTTTGCTTTAACCTTAAGTCTATTAGTTGGGGAGGTTGGCTTTGCCCTAAGTTTATTAGTTGGGGATGTGTGTTGCATTCAAAAGATAAGCAAAGCATAATCAAAGACGAAAAGAGTGAGCAATGTGAACAAAGAACTTAGGAAATTATCACACATTGGGAAAAGCAAGAAGCAAAGGTCTTTGCAAAGGGCAAAGGCAAAAACAGAGTTTTGGCATTAATACGTGTTTTATTGGAATAATGTGTATGGAGTCGATGCCTAATTATTAACTTTCCTCCTGAGCTGTCCCTTTACTAACTCATGGACAACTAGAAAAAGCTCAAACCAAGTTTATTCACCCACTGGGTCATACAGCTGCAAAGACATGTTTACACAAGCACATATATTTATACCCTCCTACCAGGCGAAGTCAACTCCTTACACATCTAGACAGTCAATACATCTCTGTTGCTAGGCAGGAACTTAATTGGTTCCTCTCACTGGTGTAGTCATGGCCCTGCCTCATGCTAGAACCGTTGTAGGCGTGGAAGTATATATGTGTGGGATAGTACTGTTCCTTCTCACTTCATCTGACCTCAGACCAAATTTCTCGCTCCTCCCTAATCCGCGTCTGTCCTACCTTGTCAGTGACTGAAACAAGACTGTTGCCCTTTGCCGCCATCCTTATGAGCCATGAGATTTAACAAGAACATGTTTTGACAGAATGTAAACTTTCTGTACTTCCCCTGGTCTCACTCAGTAACTTTCCATACACCTAGTTCTTATCCACCCTCCATTGACCCCAACATATACATTCCTTATATATGTAAAGCAGTCAATAAGTTCTAGTGTGGTAACATGAATAAGTATATTTCATGTTAGAACCCTAACAGTCCCTCCTTTTTTAATAGTAATTCCATGCTGTTCAACATTATATAAACTTAGAAATTACTTATAAATGAACAAAAAGGAAACATTATTAATGTTCTCAGTTGATTTGTATGTTTATACCTCCGAGACATATGACCTCTGACTTCTAATCACACTATTGCACACTCTTATCCCCCCTCTCGTTTTCAGCTGGAGCTTTTGACTTTCTCAGACAAGCCCTCCCCCTTCCTGAGTCTAGGATGTACAATGAATCTCTGTGGCTAAGTAGGTGGTGTTATCGCCCGAGTCCAGAACCTCTGGTACTCCACCACTCATCTCCCGGTCTTCTTATCAGTAGGGAGTATACATTCTTGCACCTTGCCTCAGTCTATTGTTAATTATCCGGACTCATACACAAAGAGCTATTTGAGAATAAGCGACCCATTCATACTCAAGTGACTATCATGATGCAAAATATAGAGAGAATATAATGATATAAAACAGTGAAGCTATAAGACAGTGTTATAGGGCAATAGTTCTCAATCTATAGTATTAGCTCTATCATATGCCTCCTATTTCACCCTTATGGAAACATTCGGCCTCAAATACATTTGCACATAAATCATTCCATCTAACCCATAACTCGTTAATCACTACTGCTTGGCCACTTATATAGTTATAAACATACTAAAACATGCTCAAATCAATTAGTCAGTTTTCAACATTCCCTCATCTGGAACAATGATCACTCACATGTTCCACGCCACCTAGACCCAACTTTAGAATGACAGTCCCTAATGCTTCACGTTGAGTCGTTTTACTCGAATTTAAGACCCTCAACTTAGCACACCCTGGCAGAATGTACATTTACAGACAGGGGGAAAATATCTATACAGTATGTAGTACTTATATTACCAGCATTAACTTTTCTCATCACGGCCACCGTTTGTCCCTGTCGTTCACTGTCGCTAGTGGCATGTTAATGACAGATCAGTATCTCAATGCATTTTAAAATTACTATAACATTCCCAGTGTGCAGTCCCCCACAATCAACCAGATACCCCAAATAAACAGTTTAGGGCAACCCTAAATCAATTACGGGCACGGTTGACCACCCCTCTCCTTCCCGGCACTCATTCTTTTTCTGCCATCTCTTCATGTTCTTCTTCAGATAGCTTTACAGTTCATCCTCACAGTGGCACACATGTAACTCATGCCTGTCGAAGTGGATGGCCCTTGATAATGTCCCGATTTCAATATCTGGGGAACAATCTGATTTTCACAAGCAAATAAATCTCTCACCTGAGCCACCACCACCATTATTTACGGTCCATTCTGTCTTGTCCATTTTCCGACCAGTGCACCAGCAGCATGAGAGGAGTTTTGGACGTGATCTTTCTCCATGCTCACTCCACGTGGACGGTCTCAGAACTCATGCCGCACTCCTGAGAGAAAGGGCAGGTGATAGCTTCGACTGGATGCTGTATACTGGTTGCTGGCTCTGACTCAGGTATCAGGTAGATGTGGTGAAGGACAGGGCCGTAGTGAACGCCATTGTCACTATTATTTCAGCCGGTTAGAGGGGGTGAGACTCACACTGTTCTCGGTCGAATTACCCCTTCCATTCATCTAGATACCATCTGGGGTCACTATCGCCATAACCTCTAGAGAGGACAGACCAGAACAACAGTTTAAGGCATTTCTGATTCAGGAAATCCAGACCAACTATTCATCGTATGACTAGTTATTACATTCCCAATTTTCTTAATACAACATTTCTAAGACAAATGTCAAAAAGAATAACAACACTGTTGAAACCATTTTGCAAATTGGCTAATACTCCCCTATCATATTGGTGACCTCATCGCATAGTTACAGGGTCAGGGATTTAGTTAGTTAGCTAACCCTTAGGGAGAAATCCCGACCATACATCAGACCCAATCTGGTGAGATTTGATTTGAAAACAAAACAACCAAAGCAACAACAGCTATTCACTTCTTCATATTATACTTAAATCTCACACAATGTATCTAGCCTCTGAGGGTGATAAGGCCTCACCAGAAAGTCAGAACAGAGGTCATTCAACACAGTTGAGTATTTCCTTTCCCTTTTCTTTCCCTGTACTTCAGACTACTTATTTAAAGACATTTCAAACATTTCAAACATTCTCAGGACCTGGTTTACATTGGGGTTTTTTCAGTACATTTCTTATCAGGAGAACTTGCATGGGTGCAACCAAAATTCGGACAATAGATACTTTCATGTCTGTGCTCTTTAAGATGCATCCTTTCTAACCTATGAAGAACCTACTAAAAAATAAAAAGACCCCACACAATAAATCAGACACGGTATTAACACCACTAACAAATATTCATAACAGGTGGGTTGTGTGTGTGTGTGCTGGTGTGTGTGGTAAAACGTAGGGTAAAAACAAACAAATGGCCAGGCCTTACTTAATTGGGAGCTCCCTTTACGGCCGGATCCGGGTACCTTTATACTTTATAAACTGCAGAATTTCACTAACTGCCCTCCCAAGACAACAGCCTGGGGAAACATTTCAAAGGGAGAGATAGGGACACCCCATCCTCTCCTAGAGGAGAAAATGTACATTTCATTCGTTTTCACTATGCTAAATCTTAATCAGCAACACAAACATTTTAATTCCAGACAAAACAAAACATGATAACTTCTGTTCACATGGAGTCCACTGTCCTCCCTCCACTATTAATCGTTTGTCTTTTAATCCATCCCAAACTTTACTGTATATACTATTACCCATCTCCATTGGATATTCCCTATTTGCTTCACACTCATTAATGTCTACTATTTTAAAGATTAATATGCACTGAATCGAGCGAGATCTACTTTTTTTTGGCCCATTAAAATCGAAGCAGTGTTATGCAAAACCATTTCTGTCGCCTGTACTGCCCTCAGACACAGAGGCATTCCTCTCGCCATCAAGTCTAACGATTTACTGCAGTACATTACTGGTCATCGCTTTTCCCCCATGATTTTGCGTAGCTACAATGGCCTTCATGTTCATGAACAAACATTTTAAAAGGTAATTTTAGGTTTGGTAACCCCAGTGCTGGCGTTTGACACAATTGCTTCTTTAGCTCGACAAACGCTTCCTTAAACTCTATTCTTTCATCGGGACCCTTCCCCCCTTTTGTCAATTCTGTAAGTGGCTCAGCAATTTCAGAATACGACAGAATAAAATGCCTCACAAAATTGATAACCCCTAGGGTTTTCCTTAGTGTACGAGGAGTGTTTTGTTGTGCAAGAGTTGTGCCTTTTGAAATCGAAAACCCCAAAACCTCTTGTTTTGCCAGTTGTGCTTTCTCATATGATGATTTGTGACCCTGCTCTGTCAAATAGTTTACTCGCATGTGAGTTTCTTCGTCTTTTGACGGCAACAACAAATAATGTACGTACTGTACCAACATGGAACCCTTTTTGTGATTATTTTAATGCGGCGTGATACAAAGTTGGACTATATGTAAACCCCATAGGTGCCCTCACCCACGTGTGCTGCTCCCCCTGACAACAATACCAAAACCAGTGTTGTGACTCTTCAGCCACCGGCACTGACCAAAATATATTTTTTTATGTCAAGCATGCTGTACCATTCTGAGTCTGAGGGAATAGATGCCAAAAGGTCTGCCAAATCCGCTACCTCGGGTGTAATTTTCACTGTATGGTTGTTCATGCTGTGAAAATCCACTGTAATAAGCCATTTTAGTCCCTTTTTCGCTGGGAATAAAGGGCTGTTGCACCGATCTGGTCCTCGTACCACCATGCCTCGTTCAAGTAATATTGGAAGATCCTCCGTCACCGACTTCTCAGCCTCCGGTTTAATAGGGTATCAATTAATTGGTTACGACGGCTCTCCCTCCACCACAACAGGCTTGCAACCTTTAATCAGACCACAATCTAATGCGTCTTTTGCCCATAGTAGATGATGATTGTTCGTACTGCCAATTTTAATTTGTTACCTTTTAGAATCCAACCCCAAAATCGGTTCCACACCCGTCGCCATGTAAAATGATCTGGGTATTGTTACTGGACCTATTGTCAAAGACATGAGTAGTAGTTGCATCACTTTCGATTATTTTGAACCCCTATGCGGCGTTCACCTGCCCCACTGCCCTCGAAGGTTTGCTGCTGCTCTTTTGTTAATGCTACAAACGCTTGGATCGCAAAGGCAGCGGGTGAAGTAGGCTCCAGTACTACCCTACACTCATTCCTCCAATGACCGACGGTCCCACATCTAAAACAGGGAGCCTTAGCACAGGTTCGCTGCCCTTTCCTCTCTGTTTCTTTGTCTTACCTTGGCCATTGAAGCAACCGCTAGTGACTTTCACTGTGGCTGTATTAGCCACACGCACGGCTGCAAAGTGAGCGGAATTAGATTCCACTCTCAAGGCCGCCTGTACTATTTCATCCCAGTGAGAATGCTGGTCCACTACCCCTGCAATAGCCATTTTGATAACAGGTTTCAAACCTGCCATCAAAGCAGATGTACAAATTATATCAAAGTACTCACACACCCAGTCCTTTTGATGCTGAGTACGTCTACTAATTTTGGTTCTATCGGTTTAGCTTTTCTGTTGATAGAACGCTGACATCAAAACGCTGGTGTATTGAGCTTTTAATTTTGATTTTATGTCATTGTGCCAACTCACATTAGCATCTCTGAATTCTTTATTAGATTGGAATTTTCCATCAGCAGGGAAGTGCTGACCAATCCTAACACATGGCAGTACAATCACAGGGATCAGTCTGTTCCCATGCCAGTAGAATCACAGGGATCAGTCTGTTCCCATGGCAGTAGAATCACATGGGATCAGCTATAGCTAAAGTACAGATGGATCGTAGGAGTAGATTCCTGAAAGGGACGTTTGTTTTTGAGGTTGAGCTAAATGTCAAGTCTCATTTCTCACTCTGATTCTGATAATTTCATTGTTTAAATGCTGGAAACACTTAACTTTGCAGCCCCTTCTCGGGCAATTTAAATCATGTCCGGGAAAACTCCAGGGTTGGATGGCATACCAGTTGAAGTGTACCAAACCTTTTTTGATATACTAAGAGGACCGTTATTAGCATGTTTTAACCACTCCTATGTAAATGGTAGATTATCTGACACTCAAGAAGAAGGTCTGATCTCATTATTACTGAAACAGGATACAAGTGGAAAATATAAAGATCCAGTCCATTAAAAAAATTGGAGGCCCATTACACTTCAGTGTTGTGATGCAAAAACTCTAGCAAAATGTATAGCGCATAGAATTAAAAAGGTATTGCTGGATATTATTCATTCTAATCAGACAGGTTTTTTACAAGGAAGATACATTGGAGATAATATAAGGCAAGTATTGGAAACAATAGAACATTATGGAAAATCGGAGAAACCAGGCCTGCTATTCATAGCAGACTTCGAAAAGGCATTTGATAAAGTACGACTGGGGTTTATATATAAATGCCTGGAGCATTTCAATTTTGGAGAATCTCTTATATAATGGGTCAAAATCATATATACAGTGGGAGAAAAAAGTATTTAGTCAGCCAACAATTGTGCAAGTTCTCCCACTTAAAAAGATGAGAGAGGCCTGTAATTTTCATCATAGGTACACGTCAACTATAACAGACAAAATGAGATTTTTTTTTCTCCAGAAAATCACATTGTAGGATTTTTAATGAATTTATTTGCTAATTATGGTGGAAAATAAGTATTTGGTCAATAACAAAAGTTTCTCAATACTTTGTTATATACCCTTTGTTGGCAATGACACAGGTCAAACGTTTTCTGTACTCTTCACAAGGTTTTTACACACTGTTGCTGGTATTTTGGCCCATTCCTCCATGCAGATCTCCTCTAGAGCAGTGATGTTTTGGGGCTGTCGCTGGGCAACATGGACTTTCAACTCCCTCCAAAGATTTTCTATGGGGTTGAGATCTGGAGACTGGCTAGACCACTCCAGGACCTTGAAATGCTTCTTACGAAGCCACTCCATCGTTGCCCGGGCGGTGTGTTTGGGATCATTGTCATGCTGAAAGACCCAGCCACGTTTCATATTCAATGCCCTTGCTGATGGAAGGAGGTTTTCATTTAAAATCTCACGATACATGGCCCCATTCATTCTTTCCTTTACACGGATCAGTCGTCCTGGTCCCTTTGCAGAAAAACAGCCCAAAAGCATGATGTTTCCACCCCCATGCTTCACAGTAGGTATGGTGTTCTTTGGATGCAACTCAGCATTCTTTGTCCTCCAAACACGACGAGTTGAGTTTTTACCAAAAAGTTATATTTTGGTTTCATCTGACCATATGACATTCTCCCAATCCTCTTCTGGATCATCCAAATGCACTCTAGCAAACTTCAGACGGGCCTGGACATGTACTGGCTTAAGCAGGGGGACACGTCTGGCACTGCAGGATTTGAGTCCCTGGTGGCGTAGTGTGTTACTGATGGTAGGCTTTGTTACTTTGGTCCCAGCTCTCTGCAGGTCATTCACTAGGACCCCCGTGTGGTTCTGGGATTTTTGCTCACCGTTCTTGTGATCATTTTGACCCCACAGGGTGAGATCTTGCGTGGAGCCCCAGATCGAGGGAGATTATCAGTGGTCTTGTATGTCTTCCATTTCCTAATAATTGCTCCAACAGTTGATTTCTTCAAACCAAGCTGCTTACCTATTGCAGATTCAGTCTTCCCAGCCTGGTGCAGGTCTACAATTTTGTTTCTGGTGTCCTTTGACAGCTCTTTGGTCTTGGCCATAGTGGAGTTTGGAGTGTGACTGTTTGAGGTTGTGGACAGGTGTCTTTTATACTGATAACAAGTTCAAACAGGTGCCATTAATACAGGTAACGAGTGGAGGACAGAGGAGCCTCTTAAAGAAGAAGTTACAGGTCTGTGAGAGCCAGAAATCTTGCTTGTTTGTAGGTGACCAAATACTTATTTTCCACCATCATTTGCAAATAAATTCATAAGAAATCCTACAATGTGATTTTCTGGAATTTTATTTCTCAATTTGTCTGTCATAGTTGACGTGTACCTATGATGAAAATTACAGGCCTCTCTCATCTTTTTAAGTGGGAGAACTTTCACAATTGGTGGCTGACTAAATACTTTTTTCCCCCACTGTATATAATATATATATATATATATATATATATAATATATATATATATATATATATATATATATATATACATATGTCATATATATATATTATATATATACATATGTATATATATATATATATATCTATATATATATATATATATATATATATATATATATATATATATAAAAACAATGGGGGATTGGAAGTGATGCAGACAATTACATTGATGGAAGTTACAATCTATCTGCAATATTAAGCTGATCTACCCCACCCAAAAAATAAAAATATCATGCTCACCTCTCTGTCTCCTTCGCCCTTCCCTCCTTATCTCTCTGTCTCTCTCTCTCCCTCTCTCCCTCTCTCTCTCTCTCTCTCTCTCTCTCTCTCTCTCTCTCTCTCTCTCTCTCCTCTTTCTCTCTCTGTCTCTCTCTCTGTCTGTCTGTCTGTCTGTCTGTCTGTCTGTCTGTCTGTCTGTCTGTCTGTCTGTCTGTCTGTCTGTCTGTCTGTCTGTCTGTCTGTCTGTCTGTCTGTCTGTCTGTCTGTCTGTCTGTCTGTCTGTCTGTCTGTCTGTCTGTCTGTCTGTCTGTCAGTGAGTGTAGATGAGGTAGAACAGCAGTGGAAGAAACACTTCCATCGTTGGATGTCCTACATGTTGGAGTGGAAGAAATACTACTCTGACCAGATCCTGAGCAGCCCAGAGGTACAGAACCAGCAGGACTGTGACCAGAGGCCCTTGGAGCCCTAGACCTGGGACTGGACCCCTCAACCCATCCATTACTCTGGTCTGGACTGGACCACAGTGGATTGGATTGGATTGGACTAGACTACACTGGACTGGAGCTTCAATTATGGTGCACATGTAATTAGTTCATGGGTAATTGGAGATAACGTTTTCAAAGACTAACTTTAAAATTATACTTTGCTTTTTACTGAGACAATAAATTGTGTTGTCAGTAAATACAATTTCACAACCCACATTTGTTTCTGAATGTAATGCCAGGCCTTTCACTGCTACATCAGTCTGCACTGTGGTATTTGTTCTTGTCCTTTCAATTGTACCTGTGTCTTGCTTTTGTGTATCTGACGATGTTATGTTTCTGTGTGTTTGGTGGGGTAATGTAACGGGAGAGATGTTTCTGTGTGTTTGGTGGGGTAAAGTAATGGGAGAAGATGTTTCTGTGTGTTTGGTGGGGTAAAGTAATGGGAGAGATGTTTCTGTGTGTTTGGTGGGGTAAAGTAATGGGAGAGATGTTTCTGTGTGTTTGGTGGGGTAAAGTAATGGGAGAAATGTTTCTGTGTGTTTGGTGGGGTAAAGTAATGGGTCACATAGTGTTAACGTAAAGATAATCAATAGGAAATAAACTATTCTGGTTGGATTAGCTTTTATACGATAATTTACAGTCCTTTGATACAAGATTCACTTGCGTGTGTGTGTCTACGTGTGTGTGTTTGTGTGTGTGTGTGTGTGTACCATATGTTCACTGTTTACATTTACTGTGTCTATGGATGTATACATGTAGATTTAAACAAATCATTTCTTCATACAGAACTATGCATGCTATGTGGTGGCGATAATGCTGACTGCTCTAAGTGGGACATTCATTTATCTATTCATCTCTTTTACTTGTTATGCATGTATTTTTCTGTAACAGATGGTCTGAGATCCTTAAATGCCATAGCTTTTATTTGGGCCATAACCAGTCTGGATCATTCCTCAAAAACGTTGCATGTGCACGCACACACACACACACCACACACACACACACACAGACATACACGTACACACACACACACAGTCAGTTTGGACCGTTACTTCCTGTGTGACCTTTTAAAAGTGACTCGATGTAAGATGGCTGCCGGCTCCCACCTCAAGGTGTGCGTGTGGAGGGTGAAGATAGGCAGACGAGACGTGACCATTG